TTCTCTCCCTAAGGTGGAACTAATGCTCCCCTAGGATCAGTGAACCGCATTTGCAATCACAGTCAAACCCTGCTGTAAGCACTTTGATGTTTTGATAAGATTAAATTTTTACAGAAATATTCAGCCTAAACATTCATATTGGTTTACAGTTGATGAATTGAATTTATTGAAAACTTTCATCTTGACATTTTTTCTCTCACATAAAGATTCAAGCATATTTGTCTACTCAAACTTGTCTCAACTGTGAAAAGAAAATCTATTTTACCTCTTTTCAGACATTTTTATTTTGATATTTTAATTTTTTAAGAAATGAAAAGACTAACCTGGTGTACCACTACATGTAAAGGGAGCATAGCTATAAAAATGCTGCAAAATTGTATTTTCTGACCTATGAAACCCAGGGTTTGCTATTCTGATGGCTAATGGTCTCTTCCCCATGGAATGCTACTCCAAAGATCTACTATTTCAACGGTCCATTTATCCAAAATATACCTTCAGAGTAGCACAAAGAACCCAAATTGAATATAAAGAATATGTGGAAAGTATATACATTAAATTCAATGCACACTTCTTCAGTGATGGATGAGTGAATGTGAATTTCAAATTAAAGCTAATTTACATTGCAGCATGATTATACTGTCTTTAGAATAGTGACCCTTCGGAATAGCCAACCCTTAGCCATCAGAATAGCAAATCCCGGATTTCCCAGGTCAGAAAAAACATTTTAGAGCATTTTTAAGAATAGTGAACCTTTGGAATAGCAGAACTTCGGATTACAGAGCTGACCCCCACGTAATGGTCTTAAATTGTATTAGGATATTATTGAGAGCATTCACAACAGATGATCCGTAGACTAAATATGGCCGACCCCATTCAAAAGGAATGCTGCTAATTCCCTGATGGTCTACCCACCTCCAAACACACAGTCGCTGCAGGGGTCTAGCAATTAAACCTTGGACCAGAGATATAATCCATTTAATTAATGCATGTGGAGATGGGGAGACCATCAGGGAATTAGCAGCATTGCTTTTAAGTGGGTTGGCTGTGTTTAGAAGGGGATCAACTTGCTCTGAATGCACTCACTGATAGAGAATTTTAACAGTCCGAGCCTGGTGAAATTGCACTGATGGACAACCAGACAAACAGGCAGGCAATTTAATTCCACAAACAAGTACATCATTATTCCTCCTTCCTGAACACACAAAAGGGACAAACTATTTACAGGCCTCATAAACGTTAATTGTCCTTTGTGATCATGGATGCCAAATCCAGGGGCGGATTCAGAGATATTTTCTGACAGTCTTCCAAATTAACTTTGTTGATCCATCCTCCATTTTTGACTATCTTCTGAGAGAAAAAAATAGATACCTGTCAATGTAAACTTGAAAATCGTACTGTCTTCTGGAAGACCCAGAAGAATGGCCTAAATCCGCCCGCCCTGAAATCAATGTCTAAAACTACGAAACTTGCTGCAAGTACCCAAATATAATGATTTGGCCAGCTTTTGTCTGAGTCTTTTGCTGTTTACATATGGGTTCTTCTACTCAACATTAAACTATTTTCAGCTAATGTTTCCAACAAATCACAAATCTCTATGTGCCCAACTTTCTCTGGCACATACAGACCATGCCAAATGGGAAAGAAAGCAGACTTGCAATTCACAATTTACACAGTAGTGCTTGCTACAAAAATTTTTACGTTCATGCCATAAAATTGCAGTTTAAGTCATTCATTTGGCTATCGCAATCACAAACCTGCAGCTTGATATCACGAATGGCAATTTTATTTACAAGGCCTGACATGTGTAATGTCCATAATACATAAACACACTATACTGCATTGGAAATATAATTAAGCATTTCTCCCATCAATCAATTGCTTGGCTGACAAGTAAATAATTTCTTTGCATTCTCACATACACACAAAAAGAAAATAATATCAATAGTGTCATTAATACTATGGTTACTGTAGTATATCCCTTCTTTTTCCTCTGATTAAAATTTGAACTTGTCTTGCCTGGTGTGATCGATACACAATTATAGATACTCAGACAATAATGAAGGAGACGATAGAGAAATTCCAAATGCACCCTGAAAGAGCAAAAATGAGTATTCAATACAACTTCAGTTATAGTGGTGTCTACATATGGTAATTACTAGATCGATGGAATAATTTTACACATGCAGTAATTTTAAAGTCATAATTAAAACACATTCCTATTAAGTGATAGCAACAAAATGAAAAAGGACCCTTAGCAAGTATCAGGCACAGGCCTGCTGCAAACTCTCTTGCAAATTCACTGCAAATTTGCAGCAAATCTATTGCAAATTTGCAAGAGCTTCAATACTTTCTTGCAAACCAACTGCAAACTTAATATGTTCTTGCAAATTTGCTACTAATTTGCCGAAACATAAAGACTTTTCCTGCAATCTTAAGTTGTTATGGCAAATTTGTTGCAAATTAGCAGCAATACAATTTTTTCTTGCAAACTCCTGCAAGCTAGTTGCTGCAAACTTTTAGTTTGCGGCAAATTTGCTGCAATTTTGCTGCAAAATTTTCATTTTGCTAAGGGGAGGCTATTTTTTAGTTCTATTCTATGCTGTAAAAGCAATACAAATGCTACACAGAATTATAATTTTTGTGATTATAAAATTTTGTATCTGAAAGTTTGATGATTTTTGCTCATTGAAAAGATAGTAAGAATAAAAATCATTACTGATCTTTGAACCAGGTTCTAGGGAAAGTGGTTCTAAACTAAAATGCCAGCAAGTTTGGAGGCAGGATAGTAAAATTTTGTCAATTTATTTTGTTCTTGGTAACACTTCTGTTCTTAATAGTAAATTCCTTAGCTGACACCTTAATCTGTTATCTGTCCAATGATTAGATGATTTTATGCATCGAGTGTCAGATATCAGGGGCGGATTGAGACCGTCTTCTGGGCCTTCTGGAAGACGGTCAGATTTTTAAGTTTACATTGACGGGTATCTAATTTTTTCTGTCGGAAGACAGTCAAAAATTGAGGATGGATCAGCAAAGATAATTTGGAAGACTGTCAGAAAATTTCTCTGGATCCGCCCCTGGATATGTACAATTTTACATTTGAACAAAATCTTGCAGCACTATAATTTTCATCTAATTTAAGATGAAGTAAAAGCGGCCTTCCAAATATCTTTGGCAAATGTTTATAAAGTATATACTATTATGCGTATAGATATTTCAGCCATTGCGCCCAGCATATGTTTCACGAGTCATGCTACGCTACGATGGGGGTGTGGTGGTAGGCCTACATGTAGCAGTATATAATTTAATAAAGGAATACAATCGATAGTATCACCCCATAGACATCCACCACCCACAAATGTTTTCTGGGACATCCATTAAATATAAACAAAAGTCTATTCTCATGCAATGTATCTGGTACAGTTGTATATCAATAGGAAGCATGTGCTTCGTCTACAAATGCAAACAGTGGAGGTGCCGTAGTACTGATTGTCGTAAAATTAGCTCGAGAAGTGCATGTAAGAAAAATTATCTATAAAATTTAGATTTTGTAGAGTCAGCTCAATTCTGGTAGAAGGCAAAACAAAAAAAATCAAAGATATTAACCCATTTTACAATATTTCCTACTACGTCAACGATGTAGTTTGTTGGCAGATAAATGTGATTACACTCTTAGCTGACTCAGGAAAAGTTTGAAAAAGCATTCAAAGAAGAGGCATGTGTGCCAATAGTAAGTGAAAAGTGTGCTATAATCAGGACAAATAATACCGATCATAAGCTGATAGCCACAAACCCCTAATTAAGCTGTGTTGACTCCTTGCTGGGAGGGGGTAGCGCCCTCCTACTGCTGTGAGTAATCACACATTGTCTTCTAACTTATGGCTATGCCTGAGTTACATTGACTCTATGAATTAAAATGTTTTCATTATGAAGGGGGCAGATGGTAAATTTACGACAATTAAAGCAGTTATCGATCTTGCGCGTACCCGTTGTCCGGTTTCTAAATGGCTACAGTGTAGGTACTCGCTTCACATATTGTTTTAAGTGTATTGTGTGTTAAAGAGACAAAATAGCGGAATTATTGATGAACTCAAATGTACCTCCTTCTTGCTATTGCACCACAATTCTTGTTGATCAAAATAATAATGTAAATTCTTGTTGATGACAAATTTACAAAAATGTATCTTGTACCTCAGTTTGGAATGATAATGTAACTGTGTTCTTTTGAAATGGGGGGTATCCCTTAGGAAAATGAAAAGTTTGCAGCAATACAACAGCAAAATTGAAGCAAATTTGCTGCCAACTAAAAGTTTGAGGCAACTAGTTTGCAGTAGTTTACAAGAAAAATTAGTATTGCTGCTAATTTGCAGCAAATGTGCAATAACAACCTTAGTTTACAGCAGGTTTGCAAGAAAATCTTTATGTTCTAGAGAATTTGTGGCAAATTTGCAAGGGCATCTAAAGTTTGCAGTAAGTTTGCAAGGAAGTATTCAAGTTCTTGCAAATTAGCAGCAAACTTACAGCTAATTTGCAAGAATTTCTTGCAAATTTGCAGCAAATTTGAGTGAATTTGCGAGAGAGTTTGCGTCAGGCATGATATTTTGCTAAGGAATGGTCTATGTGCTCTAGTGTATTTTATATAAATTAGTAATGTATAACTCTGTAGTTTTATACATTAAGTGAAAGTCAACTAAAAAAAGTAAACAAATAAACAAAGTTTTATAAGTTTCATAATATTAAGTATCATCTTCAGCTGCCGCAACATGTATTACTCAAGCCTTGGCTCAACGATTAATTAAAACTGACACTTTCATCCCTGTGTCAATTGATATCACATTAACCAATGAAAGCCAGTCACCTGTACAGCTGTGTTAAAGATTTCCCCTATGATCTGCTGTAATCCAGCCACAGTGTTGTGAGCCCCAATTTATCACCAATAAAAAGAAGGTAGCAGTAGCGCGCGGCACATATTGATTTGCTTACCACATCACAGTCAACAAGCCAACGTTACTGCTAACTCACAGCATGGCAATCAGCAAAACAGACAAACATGCTCTGCACAAGACGGCAAAAGTTTTACATCAATGATTTCAGTGTCTACTGAAGGAAAAAGAAGGAAAAGAAGGTAGGCAATTTAAAGAACTTATTCATTTATTTAGGATGACTGCACAACAGTTGAATATTTTATGCTATGATATACAGCACTGCAACAAATAGCTTTTTTCCCAGTTTATTTTTGTTTTGTTGGTAAATGTTAATGATACAATGGCATTTTTATACTTACTGGTATCTATAAAAACATAGTTCAAATACTATGTTCTGAAATGGTTCTATACCAAGGACACGCACACACACACACAAAAAAAAAAAAATTACTTACTGTCCATTAAAGGGCATTTTGGCTTTGCCCAACAGAGTGAATGATAAGGTCATAACAGGAAATGAAAGCTAAATGTTGTTTACATCGATTATCACATTCGGTTTGGGGAAACTGAAAGCATTTCACATTGAGGTGAACAGTCAAAGCCTCATTGTCTCACAAGTCACTTAAAAGGATAACAACTCTTCGTATGAGATCCGATTTTATTAAAATTTTCACAATAAATACATTGTAGTTAACTCATAGTTACATTATACATAATATAAATTCCATTTTACCACCAAAACAGTGGTTATGACAATTATTCTAGAATCTATGCTTGCCATCAGGCCATGTGACATACCTGCATAGGTGGCTACCCTCTGTTATAATCTGTTATGTTGTTGTTCCTTTAAAATCTTCGTGGCAACCAAGACAGAACAGCCTTTTTTAATATCCAGAAGTACATCTCTAACAATGACAAAGAGAGGATATGAACTTTAACCCTGTATACTATTATACGTTTCTAATACCATATCATATAAATTTTCTATAGGATATATTATTCTATCATCAATAATGAAGTTTACAACTCAATATAGCTAAAGAAGATGACCACCGTGTGTGTGCACTGTACTATCCAAAATTGCTATTATTCACCTGAATATGGCAAACATTGATGAAATTGGCTAAAACCTTTTATCCATATCATAAAGGTAAATTTAAGAAGTACCTTTTACTCATGAGCAGGGAAATCATCATGTTAGAGTTTAGGTACCAACTGGCAAGGCATTTCTGAGTATAAAAGTTATAGAGTCCTTTAAATATAGTAAGGACAAGTGCAGGGCTGAATATTGGCCAACAGGTTCAACGCCAATTATTTTGTCTAATGGGTCATAATATGAGCAGATGTTTTGATGACTAGTCAATCTCAGACTTCATCACGAAGGCCCTACTTCCAAGTAAAATTAGAACTGTGCTACACAGTAATGATACTGTGTCCCGGCAGAATGTGTGATTTGAATTTCTAGCCACAGGAATACTAATCTAATCCCTTTGTTGTCCCGCCCACTGCCACCGTAACTGAGCTGAGTTGCATGCTGGTTGGGTTGCCTCATTTGTTTTCAATTCTATATGTTCTACAGTCTCTACTCTGACTGCATGATGGCTTCATATCCCTGGCATTGTCATGGTACCATTCTGAATCAGCCATGTGAAAATAAGACTTGGAATAAATCACGAGATCTTGAGACAATGGAGATCTACCTACACGATGTCTCCTTTTTTACTAGATTTCACACATGCCAAAAAACTATGCAACCAAGTGAAACATTCTCAAATCACATAAAGCAATACTTCAGAATATATATGGTGTCTGGATGGATAAAGCCCAGCCATCAAATATCATTGCTATCCCTATGCAAACAATGCCAACAAAAACTGATAATGTTTTCAAGTGAGTTTTACAAGAAAAAAAACATGAAAGTTAAATGTCTTCTCATCCCTGCACTTTTGTGACCAAAGTCGGTGATCGTGTTATCCTACCAATCTGTGATTCTATGAGTATAGTTGATTAAAATTATTTTCACATTGTAATTTCTGCTATCTTCACAGACTACAAGAGTGAGGAAGTCTAAAATTTGGTGACTGATAGATCTATCATCAGGGATGTGCATGGGCACTTATGAATGTAAGGGCAACTGGGGGTTGGGGTGGGGGGTTAAACTCTTTTCACATAGTAACATCTGCTATATCCTCCTAAACCATTATAATGAAGAAGTTCAAACATAGGGTATTGATAGACCTATCATCAGAGATGTGGATGGGCCAGTCACAATTTATGTAGGGTGGGGTTTGGGCTGTCCCTGGGGGTGGATGGAGGGTGGAGGTGGATTCTTTTTTCACATTATGCAAATTTTTCATCAATACCTTTTCATATTTTAAAATGCATTTTAAAAATGTTTTGTCTAATATGCTTTTCTTAGATTGACTATTTTTAGTTTCATACATGGACCATCCAATGCATTTATGGTTGTATATAAGTATTATTATATTATTATTATTATTATTATTATTATTATTATTATTATTATTATTATAGTTATGCTCTTATTATGCCGATAATTTGAAATAATTATACCATATTGGGTCCACCCATAGTCACAGATATCAAGGGAATGGGGTCCCGAGAAAGAGCTACTCTTTACAATGTGGGGAAGTGTGGAGACATGCAATTATAGCTATCCCAATAACACCAACTAGTTCTTTATGTTATCATTTCATTTTTAATCTAAGCCAAGAAATGGGATGATAGGTTCATGTCCAAATTATGATACAGCTCATAATATCATCATCATCATCGAATAGCAGAATGTTCAGGGTGAACTGCTGTGGCCCTCCAATGCCCCCTACCCATGCCATTCTGTATATCACAATCATACTTCTGCTCCCATATTCTCTCTTTTATATTGTCTGAGTATCTCATCTTTGGCCTTCCTTTTCCTCTTTTACCAAACATCCACATGCATCCATCAACATTTTCGTTTCTAAATAATTTTTTCGCATGGTGTGTCCGACAAATGCCATTTTTCATCTGTTTGCATGTAGTTGTTAGAAGTTTTTCTATTCATTTCATTCTTTTGAATACTTGCTTGTTAGTCACTCTTTTGATCTAGTCGACTCTCAGCAGCTGTCTATAGCACCAAAGACAACTAATATTCTATGAGCTAATCTGTCCATCTAATGCCTTTTCACTTCAGCCTTTTAAGTCTATTCAATCATTTAAAGACTAAATAATGCTACATGTATTGAAAATCCAAAGAGAATTAACTTAAACGCTAGTCTTTCTTTGTTCAATAATTGAAATAATGTGGCGAGAGAGAGAGAGAGAGAGAGAGTGACCTGAAAGTCAACCACCAGAATGGTTCCAAATGAAAGGGATTTGATTGGAATCACAGGAACCCATTTAACCATATTACAACAGTTACTGTAACAATTGTAAGTGGGGATAGATTATCTCTATATCTACACCTTAAGTAATGGCTACTGCATATGTCAGACAGAATATTCCAATTCCTGTACTTTCAGTGACATTTTATCCTAGAGCCAAGTATAGGTGAACACATTTACGTCAATCTTATGTGTAGAAGAGGTTTCAGTTGATAAGAAACAAAGGTGCGCTGATATAACCAAAGTGGGTGGAAAAAAATGCAAAAGATATCATGGATATGAAAGTAAAGGAGATTCTCTCTCTGATACTGATACGTGTGTGTGTGTGTGTGTGTGTGTGTGTGTGTGTGTGTGTGTGTGTGTGAGAGAGAGAGAGAGAGAGAGAGAGAGAGAGAGACTTTATTCCTAATTGCTCTGTTATAAAGTTCATATACATGTATTTGCATGTGGGTGCTATGCTGGGTTTTTAAAAATTGTCTATAATTTATATGTACAGGTCGCGTACATACAATGGGATTTAATTAGAGTATCAATGATAACCCAGTAGCTGTCAAGCTATCTAAATTGCTTTAATTTTATAAACAGACAACATTTCTTGGTATCAGTTTTGATGCCATAAGTGGCTTTTTATCACATTTTTTAAAAGTATTTATAGTATTTTGGAAAGCAATAAAAGCTTTTAAGACTATTTGTGCAGTGCTTTAAGCGAAGTCTTATTCTCAAGTCCGCTTTAAAATGACGCACAGAAAAAATGCCAAATCACGCTCGCACTGTGAGATGCGACTTTTCCAATTTCCAGTTGGTTTAGCCAGCTCTGTAGTATTTAGGAAAGCCATAAAAGCTTTTAAGGCCATCTGTGCATTGTTCTATGGACCTGATAACAATGCAGATTGCAAGCAACACACATAGATTCTTACTAGTTCATTACACAGTTGCAACTCAATCCTGTTATAATCTCATGATAAAACATATTATCCCATAATTCTAATAAAATCCTATGATTCTGCATGGATAGTACCCTTAAGGCATATTATCTTGCTGGATGATCCAGTTGAATCGAGTTTTTTTTTCTGTAGAGTGAGCTTGATCTTTACATTAGGCCATAGATAGTTTGTCACCTATAACTGTTAAAGATTTTCAAGCAAAACTTTAAAAAATCCATTTCCTCTTCTAGAGATGTACTGGGAGTCCCCAAGGTTTCAAATAAATGAGATAAGAAGCGCAAAAATAGAAAACAAGAAGTTTTCAAATCACACTAAAGGAAATAATGTCTGTCTAAAATCAATTTGTCTAATCACGAGTTCACATTTTACAAACTCGTTGTGGGAGTATCAGCTACTCTAGCTATTAACACATACGTCAGTTCAAAGCTAGACCCCCCCTTCCATCAGCCTACAGTTAGATGGAAAAAAGAACAAAATAAACCCACACTACAATATATAACCAAATGTGTGGAGTACCCAGACGATATGATGATCGTGAATATAATGGGCAATGTTGGTACTTAATGTCACTTAGTGGTCAACTACCCTTAGCAAAATGAAAACTTTTGCATCAATATTGCAGCAATGTTGCAGCCATATTGCAGCAAATTTGCTGCAAATTTGCAGCTGGCTTGATACTTTGCCAAGGGTATGGCTTATCATGATAACACATCAAATGCCATGGTGATGACTATAACCCTATTCCCTGGGTCACAGATTGATTTTTTCACACGATATTCGCAGTTATGTCTCTTGCTAATGCTATATTTACACTTTTCTGTACTGTGTCCAACAAGATTTTTTTGTAGGGAATTATGTCATCACTCGGTTTGC